CCAGCTGGGGCGTCACACCAGGGAAGGGGTGTTTCTGGTGGACACAGAAAGCTCACTATCACAGATCACAGGGGTGTGAGCTCTGCATTCAACTCTTCATTCCTCTCCCTCCTCCTCCTCCCCCTCCCCGCCCCACCCCTGCCTCAGGCAAGGAAATCTCAAAACAAGAAATCACTTAGAAGATAATAACCTTAGTGTCATTTAATGAGCTCATACTAAATGCTGGTTTTGGGTGAGGGGGGCTGGCGGTGGGGGTGGGTGTTAACCCCGCAGTCATCAGCACTCGGACAGTCATGGGGGACAGTCACACCCAAACTGACTTTAGCCCCAGGAGTGCTGGTCATCTGACTGAAGCTGCAGGGGTGGGTGGGCTCCAGCTTCCCGTCAGCAGGTCCTGGGGTTCAAGGGACATCATTCACTGGTCTCTCTGCATCAGACACTCTCTCTGTCTCCTGTGAGTCCTCATCCAGGGAGCCTGTCCCCTCCTGGAGCACAACATCCACTCCTGGCTTCAGGACTCACGTGCTCTCTGCTGACCCCACCTCCAATCATCCCAGACCCTGGGGTCCCACTTCACATGCCTGACCTGGATGGTGTCCTTCATCCCAAGCCCCTCCCTGTGACCTGGGCCCTGGGACCACTCTGGAGCCTGGCAGTAGGAGTAGGGGTACAGTGCCCACCCCCCTGGCCCACACATCATGCAGGAGGGGCACTGCCCCCAGGGATGGTGGGAGTGAATGGTTCTCACAAACCAGGAGACACCCCCCAGCATCACCCCAGCACCCAGGTAAGCAAACAGGCGTCGCAACAGGTGACTGAGCCGCTGGGTCGCATGGGTAGGAAGCGGAGTCAGGGGCCCCCACCTGGGCATCTGTCTGTCGGTCCATCTTTCTGTCCATCTGCCTTCAGGGCCCTGTCCTCACCTGCCAGGCTGTGTGTGCAGTGGCCACTCCTGCCTGAACGTCCGTCCTGCTCCCCAAGCTGGAGGTAAGACGCCACGTGGACATTCTCTGTGTGCAGAGGGAAATGATGACAGAGACTCAGGAGCAGCCGGGCAGTCGGCTCCTCGGAGAGGATGCAAGGACACGTGGCCGCAAGTGAAATAGACACACGGCCCTGGGTCAGTGCAGGGACCTGCCACTCTGGCTGCATCTGCCCCTCCCTGTCTCCTGGGTGTGAGGCTCCAAAGGGGACATGGCCAGGTAGACCTCCCAGGGATGTGAGGGAAGGAAACAAACTTGGGAGGATAGTGATAGAGCTGGAAACCAGAGGGAGAGGTACCGGAGTTTGGGGACAGAAGGAAGCCACTGCCACCCCAGGGCCAGAGCGGCTGGGCGGTGCCAAGAGACCAGGGACTAGGGTGTCCAGGGTTGCCCCCCTCAAGAGCGGAGCCAGGATATTCAAGCCTGAAACCACAGGAGCTGTGGAGGGGCAGGGATGCTGGAGGGATGGGGGGGTGGAGGACAGTCTGGAGGAAGAGGACCCTGGCTCCCTTCCTGTTGGCCCTGGTTGAGCAGCTGCTGAGTGGGCATGGAGGGCACATGCTGCCCTTGCTCATCAGGCTGCATCCCTCAGGCCCCTGCTATATGACGGCCATGGAGCTAGTGTACACCCTCCCTGATTAAGGGAAGAGGGCATCAGGATGGCCTCAGGGAAGGGACGTAGCAGGGGGAGCTCGCTCAGTTGCCCCATCCCGAGCCCATCATCCCTGCTTTTCCTCGGGAGCCTCGCTGGGTCCACGTGCTCTGGGAGGGGAGCACCAAGGCCTGACCCATCAGGAGAGTCCACCCCTCTACCCCCCAGCCACCGGGTGCGGGTCAGAGAGGAAAACTGCAACCCACAGTGACCCATGGCCTTCAACCTGGACTTCAGCTTGACCTCTTGGGAGGAGGGCCTGCCCTGACCTGGGGCAGCTCATGTGCTGGCTGGGGCTGGGACAGGCCTGTCCAGTGGAAACGCATTGACCAACAGAATTTGAACTTTTTATGAACCACATTTAAAAATAAAAAGAACAAAACTCAGTTCATTAATATCTTATTTATCCCAATATGCCCAAATAGTGTTGTTTCAACAAATAATATCAATTTTTACATTCTTTTTCAGTTCTGTAAGTCCACATATCCCTCGCTATTACTATGCCAAGGTGAGTCAGTCCCCATCACTCTCAACGGAGGGCGTGAAGATGCACCCAGCCCCCCAGACCCCTGAGAGAGGTTGGCAGTGAGATGGCTGGGAGCCCTTGACTCCACCCCGCTCCCCATCGACTGCCCTCCCCCACAGGACCCCGAGGGCCCCTCCTGTTTGCCTCTGAGGCTGATCGGGGCAATCATGGGCAATTGTGCTGCTATGAAGACTCTGATGGAGCTGATGAACGGGTGGAGGGGGTCCACCTCCCTTCTCATTAGCAGGCTTACTGTGCCTGCAGCCTATGGATTCCATTTTAATGAATTATGAGCTACTAATCAAAGGGACAACTTGGCAAGACCATCCCATTGCAGCGAGGGAGGGGCAGAGTGGGAGCCTCAGCTACTGGGGGAAGTCTCAGATGTGATTAGGTAAATGCTCTGACACAGACAGAGAAAACAGTCCTCCTCCCATCTGGGCTCCCAGAGCTGGCAGGCCAGCAGAAGTGGCTCAAACAGCCCATGATTTATGTGAGATAGAGCATGTCTTTCCTGAGAGAGTCGACAAATGAGGGGCCCTATGGTCCAGTCTGTACTCATCATGGAGTCATTCACTGTGGCCCAAGAAATGAACTGTCGTCAGTCACCAGGCTTGGCTGAACTGCCTCCTGTTGAGCACAGATGTGGGCTCTGTCCCGCTCAAATGAATGGACTGAGAATGGGGATGTGGCTCCAAAGAGATGATGGGTACGTGTGTGTACATACCTGTGTACACATGCTCGTGTGTGCACGCAAATTAGGGTACACACACCGGCGTGCATGCATGTGTGTACACACACATACCTGTTCCAGAAGAAGCAGAGAGAGCCTGGAGAGCCCGGAGCCCAGAACTCCCTTTCTGACAGGGAACCTCAGGCAGGCACTTTCTCTGGGACTCACTGTTCACCTGCTCATCGGGGTGGGGTGGGGGTGGAGCAGTGGACTCTGACCAAGTCTGACCTGCATCTCACAGCCGAGGTGGGGCCAAGAGCCTAGGACAGACCAGGCAGAGGGTAAAATAAAAGTGGACGGTCCATTCTGGACAAGCAGACAGGGAGCAGGGGTAGGAACATGACCACAGGGCTTAGAGACTCAGCATCCGCCTGCCCTTCCCCATCCTCCTGTCTGGTGAACAGTCTCACCAGCTTCCTAACCAGGGGGGACACGGAAACAAGAGGGAGGGATGGGGCCCAGGGGGACGGAGGCAGGGGCTGCGGACACGGAGTGGACCAGGCTGACCTCAGGCAAATGAGGCTCTCAAGGGCTGATGGGGAAACCATGTGAGGTTCCCTCTGCTCTCTGCTCCCCCAGAGAAGCTCTCTGGGGTCCCGGGGGCACACACAGCTTTTCTGTGTGGACAGACAGAGATGGGAGCCACCCAGGTGGGGTCTATGGAGAGGAGATGAGTGAGACCCTGCAGTGCACACCTGGCCCCATGGCCCTGGGCACAGGTAGAGAGGAGGTCAGGGCCCTGGGCGTCCCCAGCAAGGGGGATCAGGAGACAGAGGTGAGGCAGAGGGGCACATTCCTTGGGCATCCTGCACAGCTGACTGATGGTGGGTACTCACTTCCACAGACACACAGTTGATGTAGGTCACTGGGCACCTGGGTACCATGGTAACGGTGCCATAGCAACCCCCACCCCTGCAGTCTCCACGCCAGTGCAGGTGGGATTAATGAGTTTAGGTTCATTTAGTAACGTAATTGCCCTGGGGAGTCAGAGTCTAAAGCCACTTTGATCGCAGGGCTCTGACCATCCATGACCCGCCATGAGAGGACAGAGAGGAAATGAGGTCAAGGTTGGGATCATGAAGAAGCCGGAGCTCCAGGACTCCTGTCTGCCATCACTGCTGCCTCTGTGGCTGTGGGCAGGGGAAGAGGAAGGAGGGACCAGGGCTGAAGGTGTGAGTTACGTTTGCATGGTCCCTGTGGCTGGCAGCTCACACTAAAAGCAGTTCACACATGGAGCATCATCAGGACCACAGTAACCTCGAGTCCCTCCCAGCCTTCCTCCTCTTCCTCCCAGGGACCATCTCCTAAATCTTGTCTCCCCCCCACACCTTGCTTTTGTTTCTGTTTTAACCCACTTTATGCATCCTTCAGAAAAAGAGGTGACCGTGGTCACTGCACTTTTGCAGGATATAATCGTCCAGCCCCGATCCCCTGTGACTTGCTTATTGCGTTCAACTTGAGCTTTTGAACATCATCTGTGTTAAAGAGTTCATTGGCAGCTCCTTCACTCACTTTCCTCATTGAGCAAATCCACATGTACTGGGCTTTGTCCATGCTACATGGCCATTTGCCTGTTTGTTTATTCTTTTGTGAACAATACTTTTGTAAAAGCAAAGCTTGTTGAGACAATTAAGTGAATCTCTCATCCATCTGTTCATCTATCCTAATATACGGTCTGGCACATAGTAAAAGGGCTTCCCATGTGGTGCTGTGGTAAAGAATCTGCCGGCCAATGCAAACAATGCAAGAGATGTGGGTTCAATCCCTGGGTCAGGGAAATGATGCCCTGCTCCAGTATTCTTGCCTGGAAAATTCTATGGACCAAGGAGTCTGGCAGGCTAGAGTCCATGGGGGTGCAAGGAGTTCAACATGACTGAGCACAGCAAGATAGTAAAAGGTCACATATGTGTGTGTTGTTACTGTTATTACTGGTAGGATCAACAAAAATGCTCAAACTGGGATATTCCAGCAACAGTAGCAGGTGTGTGCAAACACACACACAGACACTGCCGCAAACACACACGCTCCTTGGGCGGATTTTATCAAAAGACCCCACAGGACGACTTGAGGAGTGAGGCCCCACCTACCACCTGTCTGGTCTCTGACCTGTGATGGCAGCACAGGGAAGCAGAGTCCGGACCAGGCCTGCCAGGCCCTCTGGGCTGACGGGCGCAGGGCACTGAGGTCTGCTTTGGGGTCCTAGGGAGGGGGGGTTGTGTAAAGTCTGCTTATCTGGGGCCAGCACACTTGGACCCAGGGCATGACTGACAGTACCAGAGATCCACCAACCATGACTTCCAGGAAACCCAGGGCTCCTGGAGCCACACAAGACCTCCTGGGTCCCAACTGTCACCCCACAGGGACCCAGGGTGAGCTATGACCCTCAGATGGGGACCAAGCACATTTATCTGAGAGCTGTCTTGTTCCATGTCCTAGTCACCAAACCTCCACCTCCTCCTCAGATTCCCGACCTTCCAACATGAACCTGTGGTCCTGAATACCCTGGGGGATATGGTTCAGGGGACAATGTAGGTGGGGTGAATTCACAGATGGGCTTCGAGATAATATAACAACAAACGTATCATCTGCAACATTAATAACAGAAATTATATTGCCACTGACTGAGACTGTGGTGTGTCTATGCTGCTTTAACGGCATTCTCTGTTAATCCCCACAACTCAGTGATGCCAACATGATGACTGTCCCCATTTCACAGACGGGTAAACTGAGGGTCTGAGCCGTGACGTCATTGCCCCGTGTCCCGAGGCTGTGAGGTAGAGTCTAGCTCAGATCTGCCCGACCGCTCAGCCTGTGCTCTTCACATCCTCCTGCCCCAGAGGTGGGTGTCCTGCCAGCACCTCCTGGAGCCCCAGCCATATGGTGACCACGGGGCCTCCTCTCCCTAATCCCAGGCTCTTCCCCAAGAGCTCCAGCTGAGGTTCTGGCTTTTCTTCCCCCCTTCCCATCAAAGCACAGGCGCAGACCCGGGGGCAGCAGTTCATGATGTCGGGGCAAAGCCGCCTTGGAAGGTGCCTGGTCAGGACCTTTCTGACTCAGTCTCCACAGACTCTAAACCACTAACAGGAATTCAACTTCGGCGGGAATCCTAGGGCAGTAAATAGCGGCAAGCTCACTGCCAGGAAGTAAGGGCACAGCTACAGCTCCTGGATGCGATCATGATTGATAGAGCAGATGAAGCTTTATCAGGAGCCCAGCATCCCGATTCATCAGTCCACAATCCAGTTCTCGTGGACGAAAGACTGAATTCATTACTCAAGTGTAAAACAGGCAGAGATTTCTGCCTTTTTTCATGATGTGTGCATAATGGATGTTGTTTGAATGTGCATCAGTCTCCTGAGGCTTTCTGCTGCTGCTGCTGCTGCTGCTAAGTCGCTTCAGTCGTGTCCGACTCTTAGCGACCCCATGGACTGCAGCCCACCAGACCCCTCCGTCCATGGGATTTTCCAGGCAAGAGTACTGGAGTGGGTTGCCATTGCCTTCTCCACCTGAGGCTTTCTAGAATCTGACAAACCCAGAGAAGTTGAGCAGGGGGTGAGTGGGCATGGCAACTCCAGAGCCCCAGACAATGGATGGCTATTCAGTGCAGAGAGAAACAGCATCTGTGCCCATCTGCAGAGAAATCACCTCCCATGGGTGCTTGGAGTTCCTGGTGAAGATCCTGTCCTCTGGGTGGATTCTTGGGTGAGAGTGAGCTGAAGATAAGAGATAAGCAAGATAGGACAGAGCATGGCCGTTCTATCTAGTCCCCACCCTCACCACTATCTGGGGCTCCGAGTGCTTCTCCGCTGCAGTGATGAACAAGCCACCTTGATCCTTGCCCCTCTGTTTCCAGAACCCAGTGTCAGCCTGTAGACTGAAAGAAATCATGACAAAGTTGAGGAAGGCATTGAAGAGAAATATCTGGGGTGTTTCTGTGGCCCAAATGCCCCTGGTTAAAGGACAGGATATTTCAGCACCTGGACTGAGCAGGAAAACTTCATCTCTCGGAAGTCACTGTTCCTGGCAATATGTATTTGATGCAACCATCACACTGAAAATTCATGGGATAATCTGTTCCGTAATTGATTTTCTGTTCCATAACATCTGCCTCCGTAGACGCTCACATAAATATGAATAAGGTACAGGCTGTGGAAAGGGATACCAGAGTCCAAGAGCATCCTTCCAAACTGAGAAGTGTGATGACCCCACTGCAATTTGAGGAAATATGGAAATGTGAAGTTCAGAAAACAGAAAACGGCAGCGATCTTCATGTGATCTCAGTTAAAAGTAATAAAAATGATCCTTCAGAGAAATCAAGTAGGAAAAAAGAGTCACCTTCCTTTCTTTGCATGTATATTATAGTTCATTTCCAGACATGAGAATAAGACTGAGATTTCAGCTGCTGAATAATCCATCTTCATTTTTTCTTAGAAGGACTCAAACAACTCCCCTGAAGGCATAACATAATGATTTTCAACCTTATTTCTCCTCTGACACACAGATGGGCAGCAGCAATCATTTCTGCAACCCTGTCCTAGGACATGCAGAGAAAGTTGCTAGTAACAGACCCAGGCTGAGTCATGGGGGTGTCAACAGCTCAGGTTTAAAACCCAGATGTGCAGAGAGCTGGGAGAGCAGGGCCCTGGAATAGTCCACAATTAGGAAAGGACCAAGAGCAAAAGCAGCCAGCAGAGGGGGCCAGTGAGGCCAAGGTGATGGATGCCAGAGTGTGTGTGTGTGCATCTGTTTGTGATTGTGTGTGACCTTGTGTGCATGAGTCTGTGCAGAGCAGACGGCTGTGCATCCAGACACTGACTTTCTTCATTTCCTCATCCCCCTCTCCCTCCTCCATGTTCCCCTCCCTCCTCCATCCCTCTCTCCCTCCTCCATGTTCCCCTCCCTCCTCCATCCCCATCCTCCTCCATCCCTCTCTCCTTCCTTCATCCCCCTCTCCCTCCTTCATCTCCCTCTCCCACCCTCTCCTCTCTGTCCCTCTTCTTCTCTTCCTACTGGTGCAGAAAATAACCTTAGTGTTTTTAATATATTCCAATTGACATTTGGAAAAATTGCATGTATTATACAGATATCTGCTTGTGTGAATCATCTCTGCTCTCTGCAGAGGAGGTGTCCCCATCTGGACTGTCAAGGCCTGAAGTTCCCCAACAGAGACGATGCCTGGCATCTCTTCCGTCTCCATCACTTCAGGAAGCAGAACAGAACAACCCAGGACTGCTGATCAGAACTGCCCTGGCCCTCCCTCAATCACAGTGGGCTCTGGGTGTTTTCCCAGCAGCTCTAATGGGGCCCAAGCTGATAATTCCAAAACATTCCCTGTCTGCTTTGAGATGCTTCTGAAGGAATTCCACCGTGCTGTCCAGAACTCTGGGCTTCTCCCAGGAACCATGAACTAGTAGGTCCCCTGGGTGGCCCTTGACAGTTCAAGGGCCCAGTAAACACCAAGGAGGGAGAGGAAGGGGAGCATGAGAAGGGGAAGGCGAGGCAGGGGTGGAGAGGGAAGAGGAGCAGATGGAAAGCAGGGGTAAGGGGCCTGCTGAACAGGAGTGCAGGGGACTGAGTCAGGACCCACTCTGAGCTCCTCACGGCCGTGGAGGATCATTTTGTTTGATGTCAGATGCATGATCTGTGAGATTCCCGTGTTCCGTGTAAATGTCGTGTCCCTACCCTGAGCCCAGCCATTCAGACATCACCCTGAGGGTCCCAATCTCTCCTGCCCCAAGATAGTTGATGACCTTTCTCCCTCCCTGTGGCACCAGCCCGAGTGACTGTGGATTATCTCTGATGAGACAGGGATTAAAGCCAGGAGCCTCTTATTAGCCCCTGCAATTAACCAGCATTTCTCGGAGTACAGCTAGGACCTGATCTCTGACCTGGTTTCCAGCACAATCAGGAGCACTTAATGGTGATTTGATGTTTGTTTGGTTTGCAAGGTGGAAACACGAGGATGCCCCTGGGAAGGCAAGGACTGTAGACAAGGATGTATCCATGTTGTTCCCATGGAGCTTCCGCAAGAGAGAGTGACAAGGCTTCCTGTGAGGCACCTGACACCCCGAGTGCCTTGTGCCACCCCTCAGAAGGAAGGAGAAAGGCCGTGACTCATTCCATCTCAGAAGAAAGTACAGGGCTCCAGGAGGAGGAGCAAGGAGCATAAGGCCGACAAGACAGCGAAGTTCTGGTGCTAGGTTCTCTCCTGCAGCTGGACTGCCCCCAGCAGCGCCCATGCTGCCCAGCTCTCAGTCCTGCAGCCAGGCTGCTGGAGTGGGGAGGGGTCCTACATCCACCCCAGAAAGCCCACAGCTCACAGGGGATGGAATGGGCTTGGTCTCAGTCTTTCTGACCCTGAGATCACTGATGCACCACTTCCCTCACTGGGCAGGGAAGAAGGGACTGGACATTGTGGGGCCATCAGTCCATGAGGACAAGGGTCCAGGGCTCCTGGGGAAATGGCTGATTCCAGGGGTGGAGCAGGAAACACACAGGTGAGTGGGGAGTCCCTGATGGTGCCAGAGATGAAGGAAAGTGTGCACACATGCATACACATGTGCACACAGTGATGGGACAGGAAAAATTGTTCAACTGAAAGAGTTCCTGTGGGCAAAGTGGAAGAGCCCATCTCCCTGTCATCTTTGGAGTTGATAAAAGAAGTGTTCACATGTTTAGATATAGGGAAGTTATCCTGGCTTGCACACGAGTTGACTTGAATTCAATGCTAACTAAAACAGCCTATTTGCAGCCTATCAAACATACATTGTCCATCTGTTTTAAATATTAAAAAAGAAGGGCACATCTACCAGAAGTAAAGATATCCTTGTTAAAAAATAGAGTAACTACCTCCCTTCCTGGGATGCCAGTACTGGTCCTCCCTCAATAGTAAGACTCCCTTCCAATGTGGCCAAGTCATGTGTACTGACTCGCTGTGTACATGCTGGTCTGTTCTTTTTTTTTTTTTTGAAACCTTAAAGAAAGGTAACCCTGACTTGTTTAATGTACTTTGTTCTGATAAGGTGTAAAACTGTGCTGAAAACCCTGCTTCTCCAAGTCATCTGGGAAGCAGATTTCCTCAGTTTGGCTCAACTCTTCTCTATTTTTATCATTGATTGTTCAGCGATTATTTTTGTTGACAGTGTCCCTAGACACTCCATGAAATATTGAGTAGAAACTAACAAAGAACAAATAAAGTATGGACTTTAGTTAGTAATAGCATTGATAGTAATTCACAAACAGTAACAAGTGTGCCACAGACTGTAGGATGTTAGTGATGGGAAAGCCATCCATGAGCTGCAGGAGAACTCTGCACTGTCTTCACAGGTTTTCAGTAAAACTAACCCTTGGGCTTCCAAGGTGGCTCAGTGGTTAAAGAATGCATCTGACAATGAAGGAGACGCCAGTTCAATCCCTGGTTTGGGAAGATCTCCTGGAAAAGAAAACGGTAACCCACTCCAGTATTCTTGCCTGGAAAATCACATGGACAGAGGAGCCTGGTCCATAGGATTGCAAAGAGTCGGACACTACTGAGCATGCATGCATGTACTATTCTACAAAAGCAAGTTTCTTTAAAAATATAAATATGAAGCTTTCCCTGATAGTTCAATGATTAAGAATTCCCCCTTTCAGTGCAGGGGATGTGGGTTCAATCCCTGGTCAGGGAACTAGAATCTCACATGCCATGGAGCAACTAGGCCCACAGGCCACAGCTACTAAGTGAGCCACAGCTAAGACCCAACTGAGCCAAATAAGTAAATAAACACTTTAAATATGTGTGTGTGTGTGTGTGTGTGTGTATGTGTATACAGGGTGAGAGTTTGGGTCCCTGATCAGAGAGGATGAGCTGTGATTCCCCTGAAACTGTTCCCCACAAGGAGGTAATGTGAACACAAGAGGGGAACCTGGGCCAGGCTGAGCAGCCCCATGACAGCTGAGATGCTGTTACCCTGGGAAGAGGTCTGTGCCAAATTCCATGAAATTTTGTTTTTGTTTTTCCTTTATCTCCCCCAAATAAGACATTAAAAAGTGAAAGTGTTAGTCGCTCAGTCATGTCCGACTCTTTGCGATCCCATGGACTGTAACCTACCAGGCTCCTCTGTCCATGGGATTCTCCAGGCAGGAATACTGGAGAATACCATTTCCTTCTCCAGGAGATCTTTCCGACCCAGAGATCAAACCCAGGTCTATCGCATTGCAGGCAGACTCTTTACCAAGGAGCCACCAGGGAAGCCCATGCTCATGTTTAAAGCTGTAGAGTATGAAACAGGACCCAGTGGGGAGAAAAGAAGTGTTTGTGACTTTGAACATAAAGTCTCCCTGTCAGCCTCAAGAGTCAGCCGTCATCCTGTTTTAAAAGTTATTCCAGAAAGGCTCCAACTGTCAACAAGAATATAGACTAAGCATGAAGTAGATAAACTGATATATGTATTTATATTTATGTACATTCTATAGAGGGCTTCCCAGGTGGCACTAGTGGTAAAGGACCTGCCTGCCAATGCACAAGGCATAAGAAATGGATTCGATCCCCGGGTCGGGAAGATCCCCTGGAGGAGGACATGGCTCAGTATTCTTGCCTGGAGAATCCCATGGACAGAGGAGCCTGGCAGGCTACAGTCCATGGGGTTGCAGAGTCAGACATGATGGAAATGACTTAGCATGCATGCACACACATATTCTACAAATGGTAGCACAAGTATACATTTGTATACTATATGACCCTTCTTTTTTCAATGAGCAAAAATCTCAGATGCTTCTGTATTGTTAGAACTACCTGGCCATCACTATGGTCCAAGCCTGAAAGGTATCCATTGTACAGATGCCCACGATTCTCTGAAGTGGTTCCCTCTCTGCAAACGTCTATCTCAGTCTTTTGTTACAACAGACAAGCCTGCAGTGAACATCCTGGCACTGACGCCCTTGTGCGTATCATAGCACTATTTTTAATGT